ATTACATTACACCACGTTATATTCCGTTATATTATATTCCGTTACATTATATTAATTATATTATATTAAAAATGTTATACTAAAATTATACTAAAAGAAATAGAAAGAAAGGATTCCATCAGAAGGTTAGAAAGGAATTGATTCTATTCTATTACATTATGTTATGTTATATTATATTATATTAATCACATCACATATTACATTACATAATATCATATCGTATTACATTACATTATATTATTACGTTACATTGTTATATTGTGTTATATAATATATAAATAATATATATATTATATAATATCTATTAGATATAACATTATATTTAATATTATCAAAGTATATATAATCTATATTATATTACATCACATTATATTGTATCATATTACATTATATTACATTACATCATTATATTGCATTACATCATTGCATTACATTTTATTATATTATCACATTACATTATATCACATTATGTTATATTGTTTATTATGTAATATATAATATAAATAATATATCTAATCTCTAATATATATTATATATAATATAATATATAATATTAAGATAAATATAATTTATATTATATTATGTTACATTACATTGCAATTATATTATAAATGTTATACTAAAATTATACTAAAATAAATAGAGAGAAAGGATTTCATCAGAAGGTTAGAAAGGAATGAATAATAAAAACCTGTGACTGCTCACAGCCTCGATACAGCTGGACCATGATTGGTCATCAAGTAAAAACAATCCACATGAGACCAATTTCTGAGGTTTCTCAGCTTCTCAGGAGAAAAATGCTGGCAAAGCTATTTTTCAGAAAATATGTCAGTGACAGGACGGGGCTGGGGTCAGGAGGAGCTCTCTGTGCCCCAGAGGGCAGCAGGGGGGTTTGGCTCTCCAGAATGAGGAGGTGAAGTGTCCAAGCCAACACCCATTCCCTGGGGGCAGCACAGGTGGAGTTTTGCCCGAGGGGTGACTTTGTGACATGCCAGTGGACACTGGGGTGTGAGGCTGTAGATGTCAGGTTGTGTCACCCCCAGCAAGGGCTGCTGGCTGGATGCAGGGGTGATTCCCACCTCTGTCCTGCCCTGCCCCGTGCCATGACACCCAGTCACCCCCTCCAGCTGCTCGGGGCCACAGCCATCGAGGACAAGCTGCAAGACGGGGTCCCCGAGACCATCCAGCTGCTGAAACTGGGCAACATCAAAGTGTGGGTGCTGACAGGAGACAAACAAGGTCAGTGCAGGAACCCCCAGACCCCCCAACAAATTTCAGCCTCTCCCCTGACCAGGACCAGAGAGGAGAAGGGTCACTGGGAGTGGGCAGGAACTGGTCCTGCTGCTCCCTTAGCAGCACATCCCACCTGCCAGGGGAAACTGAGGCAGGGGAAGGAGCTGCTGCCCGCCAAGGGCTCTGGGAGCCAAGGGCTGGGGGCTGCCCTGGGCTGGGGGCAGCACCATGGAGTACTGAGGGCTGGGTGTTGCAGAGACCGCGATGAACATTGGCTACGCCTGCAGGCTGCTGACAGACGACATGGAGATCCTGGAGGAGAAGGAGGTCAGGTGAGGAACCATCCCCTCCTGGCCCAGGACATTGCTGTCCCTGCTGGAGACACCTTCAGCAGAGGAGCTGGGGCAGGGTGGGCAGAGCTCAGCTCAGCCAGAGGAGCTCCTCCTGCCCTGTGCCAGCCTGGATGTCCATGGTCTTCATCTGGTGATTTTCCAGCCTCCTCACCTGTTTCTTCTCCCACCCCATGCTCTTCCTTGGCAGGCTTTGCCCAGAAAGGGTTTAAGCTTAAGGTCTCCAGCCTCTAAACCAGGCTGATTTCTGATATGAGTGAACCTTCTCTTTGTTCCTCCTGTTCCTACCACAGTGCCATCTCCCTAGCTTTGGGATGACAAAGCCTCACCAGCATCCCCAGTGTCCCCAGCTCATGTCCAACCCCCCTTTCCTCCCACAGTGAGATCCTCCAGGCTTACTGGGAGAGCAACAACAACCTCAGTGGCCGTGGGGACACCCCGTGCAGCCTCTCCCAGCAGCACCCAGAGACTCCATGCCACAAGAGAGCCATCATCATCAGCGGGGACTTCCTGGTAAGGCGGCACCTGGATGCTGTTCTCTGCTCCCTGCCTGATGGTTCTTCCTGCCCTGGTGGTATCAGAGTCCTGGGTGGCACCAGCACGGGCAGGACATGGTGCTCCTCCTGACCAAAAGGTGGGAAAAGCCCATTTGGGGCTGGGGAAGGAAGGGTGGGGAGGAGAACAACCTTGCACTGAGCATTTGGTGTTGGGGGGCTTTGGCCAAGGCTGCTCAGTGCTCTGGGGTGACATGGGCTGGGTGGGGATCACAAGGTCTTGTGGTCACACTGGGCTCATAGTCACAGCATCCACTCTGTGATGAGCTTGGGACAAACCACAGTTGTCTTTGGGGGCATTTAAGAGCAGTGCTGAAGAGCTGAGGTCTCCGAGGACTGTGTAAGAGGTCCCAGCCATGTGTGCTCTCCCCCAAGGACAGAATCCTGCACACAGGAGAGGTGCTGAAGGAGAAGAAGGGGTGGCCATGGCAGTGGCTGTGCTGTGGCAGGGCCGAGGCCTCGCAGGACCAGGGGGCTCTGGTGGAGAAGGCCTTTGTGGACCTGGCCACCAGCTGCCAGGCCGTGATCTGCTGCAGGGTGACCCCCAAGCAGAAAGCCCTGATGGTGCAGCTGGTGAAGAAGCACAAGAAGGCCGTCACCTTGGCCATCGGGGACGGCGCTAATGATGTCAACATGATCAAAAGTGAGGCTGGGGCAGGGGGAGGTCGGGGTTCTGTTGGTGTGTCCTACTGGTCATGGTGGTGCCCTATTTGTCATCTCCACTATCTCACCCTCCCCTTGGGGTGAGGAACTGGGAGGGGAAGCCCCAAACCTGTTCCCCACATTGCTGTGCTGGGAGGGTAGTGAGAAGCACAGGACAGGGACCAGCATGAGATAAGTGCATGGTAGCCCACATGCTTTTGGCACCTGGGATGAACCTTGATGAACCCTCAAACCCCAATGTGGGCAGCTGGCAGAGCCATCCCTGCCCCTCCCAGCAGCCCTGACACGGGACTGTGCTCTCACACCACGCCTGGAATATCCAGGACACGGCATAGAGGGGGCTTGTTCCCTTCATCTGTCACTGCTGGATTCACATTCCTGGGGACAACCTGTTGTCATTATGGTGCAAGAGTTCTATTGTCACTACATTGCAAGGGTTCCATATCGTTAGAGTTTCCCTCCTTGATGTTTCTTGTAGGCACCTCCTCTAGGCACTGACTCTTCCTTGTCCTTGCAGTAGCCAACTCACTCCAGTTCCCACCAATCCACTCTTTTATAAAATGCTTCTTACTGGCTACAGGTGTGGCCTGTTAACATCAGGCCTGCTCCTAATCTTTAGTAATTGGCTCAGCTGCAACTCTTCAGGGGATAAGATTCCATTCTATCCCACCTTCATTTACCCATCCTGTATGGGGCTACAACAGCCCACGGGGCCATCAAGCCCCCGGCTGCCCCCAAAGCTCCCCGTGTGCGTTTGCCACCCGCAGCCGCGGACATCGGGGTGGGCATCAGCGGGCTGGAGGGGCTGCAGGCCGTGCAGTGCAGTGACTACGCCCTGGCCCAGTTCTCCTTCCTGCAGCGCCTGCTCCTGGTGCACGGCCGCTGGAACTACCTGCGCATCTGCAAGTTCCTGCGCTGCTTCTTCTACAAGACCTTCGCCGGCCTCCTGGCCCAGGTGTGGTTCGCTTTCCACAGCGGATTCACGGCACAGGTGAGGGGTGCAGGGGTGTCCTGGTGTAGGAGTGATGAGGGGTAGCACGGTTGGGACAGATGGAGACGAGAGATCTGTGCAGCCAGGTCGTGGAACTTGGGGTTTATTGCAGAGGGCCTGGGTGCAGGGCCCTGCTGGGAGCTGCAGCCACAGCTCAGAGCAGGCCCGAGAGGAGAGAGGGGGAGAGAGGATGAGAGAGTAAGAGAGTAAAAGGGGTAAGAGCATAGAAAAGTAAGAGGCCAGAGGCAACAGCTAAGAGGGCAAAGTTCCCGTTACAATACCATAAATCTTCTTCTGTGTTGACTATTCTGATTCTCAGTAACCAATTTAGTACAATATATAAATTATATATAGCATTATCCTATAGCATTTCCATACAGCCTATAAGAATCACTACATTACCATACTGTGCTACATTTTAAACCCTAAAAACTCCTCTTTGGGCCACTTCTGCCAAGCTAGTAGGGTCTGCTCGAACCCTTGAGCCTCTCTGCAAGCAGAGGGTGTTGTTTCATCAAAAAGGGATTACCTTCAGCCAGCCACACCATTGTTTTCCAGTTGTTCAGTAACTGAGGGATCTCAAAGCTTGCTTTCATTTCAATCTTGCTTATCGTTTCTATATTCTCAAAATCTTTTGCCAGGCAATCATATTTATAAGGCTTTCCTGTTTCATCTTCCCCAACATCCTGGTTTAGGGCAAATTTGGGAGAAAACCTCCAGAAAGCAAACCTACACAGCTCCTCCCCACAACCAGTTTGGGAAGGATTCCTTGGAGAGAAGTGGAAAGAACCTGTTTATTTAACAGGAACAGCACCCCCAACACACAAAATGAACAATACCCACACCCAACTAAAGCATTTATAGTCCCAGTATAGGCAATAGAAAAGGCACCATTGGCGTGATAGAGACTACGTACCGTAAGGGAAAGATGAAATAATAATGAAAACTAAGCTATAAACAACAAAGACCAACCCTTGCACCTTTTGCATCATGGTCTAGCAAGAAAAAACAAGCAAAGTGAATTTAAGTTTGCCACCCTGAAACCCAAGTGAGCTGCTTATGAGCAGCTATTATTGAGCAAACCCGTCTCTGTGGCAAAAGAGTGGGATGACTTGTTAGTAGAGGTGAAAAGCCAACAGAGCTGGGTTTTCACCATCTGCCCCAATGTGAGGCAGATGACACCACTCTTTCACTGCTCTGAAAAAGATGACAAATTCAGAGGGGGTGGCCGCTCTGTTAGCAGTCTGTCCTGTGCTAGGGCAGCTGCTGCAGCCACAAGGTGCAAACTCTTGGTATTCCCAGGTCCCAGTGTGGAGCAGGTTTAAGTGGTTCCAAAAAAGGGAAAGTAAAAACAGTCCAGGGAAAATTTGGACTGCTTAGCTAAACTAACTAATGAGCAGAAGCAAAAAGCAGGAGCAGAGCAGAAGCAAGAGCAAAGCAAAAAGCAAAAGCAGCACCATTTACTGCCCTGTCTCTGTGTTCCACCTGCCGTGGGGGAGCAGGCTGATAACAAAACCAAAACAAAACATTCGCTCTTCAGAGCCAGTCTTGAAGGCACAGAACATGATGTCCAGCATAAACAGAACACAGAATGGGAATACAAACATCATAATGTCACCCTAGGTCAAGGGCTCACATCCATCCTGTGGTCTCTGCATCAGAGTTACGACCCCCCTGCTCAGGATCCCCTGCAGGGATTGTGCCTGGGGCTGCCTGGAGGACACGTGTCCACATCACCACCTTGGTCCCCTTTTCTCCTTCGCCATGTCCAAATTCTGACTGAGACATAACTGGTTATCTGCACTGGTTATCTGCTTTTCACCTGGCTGGATGGGGAAAGCACCCTGGGGAAACTTAGGATCTCCTTGTGTGTTGTAGTTGAGACAAAAACAATACATTTGTCTCCATTTTCAGAAGGCTTTAAACCTGTTTTTATTATAGCATGCATGCTTTTTATACCTTCTTACAAGACTCATAAATATAGACTTTACTCATTGGTCAGGAAAGACCAACAAAGTGCTTATTGGAGTAGACAGTTGCAAGTTTCTCTTATTTATCCTTCTTTCTTTCTGGCTTTCTATGTCAATGACCTTGGTAGGAAATATTTTCAGGGGTAAACATGGATCCTCATATCAAACTTCTCTCTGGCTCACAGAAGTCACTGTAAAACCTCTTTCACGCTTGTGAGCTGCAGTTCAGTCTTGGACAGATGCAGGATCCCATGTGCATTAAGCTGGTTTCCTCCAAAATGGGAACTTTGATCCCAAGAGCCATCATCAAGTGTGACCTGACCAGCAACACGTGAAGCTCCAGCCCCATCTCTGTCTGCACCGTGACCCTACAGAAAATGTGGGGCTGATGGGGATGGGGCAAGTCCAAGGGGATTTCCATGCTTGGATCTGAGTGTCCTGGGGCCTGGACATCCTCTGTGAGTCTTTCCAAAGCACCTCCAAGCTCACAGCTTCTCCCTGTTCCCTTCTAGCCTCTGTACGAGGGCTGGTTCCTCGCACTCTACAATATTTTCTACACTGCCTACCCCGTGCTGTCTGTGGGCCTTTTCGAGCAGGTATGGCTTCCCCAGGCTCACCCAGCCCTGTGCCACCCTCGGCAGCTGGGAGCCAGCCTGGCAGTCACTGCCCCCATCTCCACAGCCCTTGGTGCCAGCACAGGGCATTGTCAGCTCACTGGGCATCTGGAGCACTCCCTCAGTCCTGGGGTGCCTGTCCCCAGTCCCCCCAGAGCCACGGGGCAGAGGGACCCGCTGCAGCTCTCCCAGAGGGTGTGTGGGGTGGGACAGCCCCATCCTGCTCCCACAGTCCCTGCAGTCCCTCTGGGATTCCGTCCCTTCCACAATCCCTGCATCCCTTCTGGGATTCCTTCCCTCTCCCAATCCCTGCATCTCCTCTGGGATTCCCTCCCTTCCACAATCCCTGCATCTTCTCTGGGATTCCCTCCCTCTCCCAAACCCTCCATCCCCTCTGGGATTCCCTCCCTGCCCCAATCCCTGCATCCCCTTTGGGATCCTCTCCCTCTCCCAGTCCCTGCATCCTCTCTGGGATATTCTCCCTCTCTCAATCCCTGCATTCCCTTTGGAATTCCCTCCCTCTCTCAATCCCTGCATCCTCTCTGGGATTCCCTCCCTCCCTCTCCCAATCCCTGCATCCCCTCTGAAATTCTCTCCCTGCCCCAATCCCTTCATCCTCTCTGTGATTCCCTCCCTGCCCCAGTCCCTGCATCCCCTCTGGGATTCCCTCCCTGCCCCAATCCCTGCATCCCCCAATCCCTGCATCCCCCAATCCCTGCATCCCCTCTGGGATGCTCTCCCAGCAGGATGTGAGTGCCAAGAAGAGCCTGGAGTTCCCTGAGCTCTACGTGGTTGGGCAGCAGGACGAGCTCTTCAATTACCGTGTTTTTGGTGTCACCCTCCTGCATGGGGTGGGCACCTCCCTCATCAGCTTCTACATCACCCTCTGGGCCTTTGAGGACCACGTTGGCACCAAGGTCGTGGGTGACTATGAGTCCTTCTCAGTCACAGTGGCCCTGTCAGCGCTGCTGTCGGTCCTGGTGGAGGTGAGCACTCATCTGCTTTTGCTCATCCTGCCCCACAGCAGATCTTCAGGGTCCCTGGGCTCTGGCATTGTCCCCAGAGGCTTCATGGCTGGGGGGATGCTGTCTCTGGGATGGAGAAGGGATTTGGACAAAGCAGCTGGATGGAAGAGGGTCACCACGGCCCTTGTGAGACTGGTGCTCTGTCCCCACAGATTGTCCTGGACACTCAGTACTGGACAGTGCTGTCCTTCCTCATGGTCACAGCCAGCCTGCTCCTCTTCTGCCTCTTCTCCTTCCTGACCCAAACTGTTGATGCCTACAGGATAGCCCCTGCCATCTTCCGCTTCCCAGGTGAGGTGCCCTGGGTTATCCCCACAGCCCTTCCCTTCCCTGGCCTTGGTGCTAGGAGCTGTTTCCCACCCTGCAGATCATCTCCTCGTTCTTGAACTTCTACCTTGATTTCTAACTCCACTTTAGGTGCCATCTTCTCTTTAGAGCTCTCAGCACTTT